TAAATTATAATATAATTTATATATTAAATTTCTATCTTATTAATTATTAAATTTTTATGTTCTAAAAAAATTATTAAATTTGAATTATATTGAAACAATAATTTATCATATACATGTATAAACTAAATTATTAATTTTTTTGTTATATTTAATTTTGATACCAAATCCTAAGAAATCAAATTCCAAATCAAATATTAATTTTGGAATTCAAGGAAGGGTGGGTTTCCCCGATCCGAACCCACTGGTCCGAACCGTCCTATATTAGATTTCGGAAAAAAGGGTTCAAAAACCAAAACCCAATTCACCTTGCTTTGGTGTTGTGGCGTTCCTCTCTAACATTGGTAAATCAGGAAGAGCATTCGTAAATTTTTATGGGTCATCGACAATAATTATGTTTGATAAAGAAAACCTGTCTTACAATTTTGCAGAGAGAAAGAGATGGGTTCTTCCCCTTCGCCAGAGATATACATTCCAGAGCAATGGTTAGAGGCCGGAGAGTCCATTGCAGAGAGTTCAACACCTCCTATTGCTCTTATATGTGGTGCCAAGAATTGTGGGAAGACAACCTTCTCCCGCTATCTCCTAAATATCCTTTTGCACAAATACTCCAAAGTAGCTTATCTGGATACTGATGTTGGCCAACCTGAGTTTACTCCTCCTGCTTTTCTGTCACTAACCATTCTTCATAAAGTAACTCCAGGTAGGTTAGTCAATCCCTACCCTTTTTTCTTTTTATTTTGCATAAAAATATTTTAGGCTTAAATATATTTTTAATCTTTCAAATTTATGGTAAATTTGTTTTTTCCCTCAAATTCTGTTGCTATTAATCTTGTAATTTTTTAAAAAAAATTATTTTAGTCCTGCAAGTCATCAATAAGATCCCATAATATGACATATTGAGATAATTATATAAGATCACTCAGGTTTAATGTAATTTTTTAGGATTTAGGGTTTAACATAATATAAATATTTTTTACTAACAGGGATACCAGATGATATATTTATTCGAATGTGACAGATTTCCTTATAAAATTTGAGTATAAGTATAAAAATAAGATTTTTTTAAAATTTTGGGACTAGTAATAAAACTTTTAAATTTGAGGGACTCAAAACAAAATCTCCTTAAATTTGTATCACTAAAAATATATTTAAGCCAATATTTTATAATTTATTTAAAAGTAATTCTTTTTTTTCTTTTTGATTATTTTAGATTTGACAGTTCCATGCCTGAAGACACCGGAGAGGTATGAAGTGCTATCTTATCTCAATAATTTGGGAGCTGAATCTCTTTGTTTTTGTAATGTTGTTTTGAATTTGAAATATTTGACAAGGCTGCTCCGTTGTTTGGGATGCCATTTTCACATATAGTGAACTATGTAAAGTTTTAGCATATTGTATTCTTTATTTGTTTGTTAGGTTAAGATGAATACTATTGAGGAGTTGCATCGCATGCCTTCCAGATTAAGTAGAACTGTTTTGACATCAGATCACTGGTTATATTAACAAATTACAAATATTTTATATTATGACATTTTTCAGATAATATTGTTCCATACATGGTTGTTCCTTTTTCTGAAGATGCTGTAAGAGCGAAGGGTCACAGACATTCTGCTCTCTCTCTCTCTTGGAATGGTTTGGGGTTGGGGGGCTTTTTTTATTGTTGTGCCACTTTTTTACGGACAATTAGTTGGATGTCATTTATCATCTGTGTTGGATCTTTGTAATCAATCACACAAGTGTCGGCCAATTTAGTTATTATTTGATTGAACATGTTATGGATTTGCTTGACTCACTAACTGTCATTTATTCTGTTGTAACAGATGCCTTTTCTTTGGTGATGTTTCTTGTAAGAGAGATCCATCTACATACTTAAGTTATGTGTGTGCCATGTATGATTATTACCGAAATGAATATTGCATTTCTGATAAGGGAGATTATCCTCATAAAATTGAGTTACCTCTTATTGTGAATACTCCTGGCTGGGTGAAAGGTAACCTTCTTTTATTAGTCTGACTTTTTTAATCCTGCATTTGTACTTTTACTGCACGTAAACTATTTCTTTTATAGAATGATAGCAATATATTCTAGTACTGATGGTTTCTTTCCTCTTGCATTTCAGGTGTTGGTTATGATGTATTAGTGGACATGTTGAAATATATTTGTCCAACACATGTGGTTAAGATAAACATATCAAGTGAAAATAAGAATTTACCTGCTGGAGAATTCTGGTTAGATGGGGAACATGATGAAACAATTAACTTGATTGAGATAAATTCAGCTCGTCAGGACTTGTTAAATAGATTGTAAGCTCTAATCTGATAAGAACTTTATCAGTTGCAGCTGCTAGTTTGGTCCTTTTCTTTCCATTTTTTATGCCTCAATCAAGTATCATAGAATATCCCTATTTGTTTGGCCAGGGTGCTCGTTAAGAAGGATGCTCGTCTCCTGCGTGATTTGAGAATAATGGCTTATTTCAGACAGTGCTTTTCTAGTGATTCAAATATTTCTACGATCAAGGAACTTGCACATGCCTTGGCCTATCACTGTCCTTATGAAGTTCCCATTGCAAGCATAAAGATTCAACATCTTCATTGTGAGGTTGGTTCAAATTTTACTTTTTACCTGTTCTGATTCTGAGTCACACCTCAGTGCAATAGTAAGATTGCTACCTTGTGACTTGATGTTTCAGAAGTTAAAGTTGCATACAGCTAGCCCTTTTCTAGCACCATAACGGTGGAATCTTGTGAATAATTGTGATTGAATTGAGCTGCCCTTTATTTGTTCGGTTTTCAATCATTATGGTTCATTTTTATTCTGACCCCACTTGATTTTCAAATCTATATGTCAAGAATTTCAGCAATATTTCTTAGATCTATTTTCTTATATATAAGTGTTCAGAACATTTTTTATTGTCCATCCGTATCTTTGTAGGTCCCAAGCTCTGAAATCTTCTACAGTTTGAATGCTACCATTGTTGGCTTAGCAGTTGATTCTGATGTACCTGAAAATTTACCTTGGTGTCTAGGGCTCGGTAGGTAATTTAACTACTGAATTCTGTAACGTCTCATTATGTCTTGTTCTGAAATGTAAATACATCTGCAAAATTGAAATTTCAGATTTAGAAAGCAATTTAGGTCGCAGTAGTATTGCAAACTAGCTGAAAGTGTTCCATTCTGTATTTTTCAAGTTTTGAGAATTTCAAATGTCTCGCAAACAAAATGGGAATTATAATTTTGTTTAAAAGATAAATTAAATTATTGAGCTTGACAATAAGTTTCAAAAGTTTTGTAGCAGTGGGGCACATAAAATACTGTTAAGTAACGTGCATTTGTAAGTTAGCTTCATTAGATCTCATGTCTATTGGTTGTAACATTTTACGAGTGTATCTTACCGTTGCAATACATCTCAAGTGTAATATATTTTAAGGGACCTCTACCTATTTAGGTTATCATACTTCCACAAATGTAGAAGATAATGAAAAAAAAAGTGTATTGTTCCTGATGGCACAAATCATACAGCCTTCTAGTGTTCTATTTGTTGTGCATTTCCATACTTCTAAGCATGTTAATTGTTGAACAAGTCTTGATTTCTTATCTATCAGGGATTGTGAGGGGCATTGACACAGTCAAAGGTGTGCTCTATGTCATTACTCCTGTGCCACATAGTTCTCTGGAAAAAGTCAACCTCTTACTACAGGGTTATATCCAAATTCCTACCTGTTTATTGCAGGCAAGAGATTGTTTTACATTATTTTGCTTTCTTCTTAACACGATCTTATAGAAACGGAAGATTATGTGTTAATTTTTAACCATATTGTTTTCTTTTTTTGTTTAATTACAGCTTTTTTAATAGTCATTAGAATGTGTTCTGTTAAAGTATTTCTATATAGAAGCAAAGGGCTTCCTGTGTGAAGAGACTAAGGATCTATTTGAGTAAACTTCTTAAAAACTTTTAAAAGAGAATAATAGCAAGGGAAAATAAAACAAGTTTCTCCATAAGTTAAAATTAGCTTGTATATAAGTTAATTTGTAGAAATTATCTTAACTTTTTCTGAAATCTTATTTTTAACTTATGAATAAATTAGTTTTAGTTTATGAAGTTTAATTCCACTTTCTTTTTTATTTTTTTCTCCTAAAAGTGCTTTTGGAAAAAAATTATTCAAACAGATCATTTACCAACATGCTGAAGCTGTCCCTATAGATATTAGAGGAAATGGTTGCCCATGAAATGGAGCTGCTTCTAGATAGATGGCCTATCCTACGATGAAAGCATCGTGTTGGAGCTGCCTTAAATTAGTGTTTTTTACTTTTTAGCCAATAAGGTGCGCCTGAGTGTCATAAATCTGGGAGCAAGAGTTGTCCCAAGTTGCATCTGGTTTTGGCCAGCCAAAAAGGAGATGTTTGTTTAGGTCAGCCTTTGAATGGTCCAGCGTTGCTTCCCTCTATCTTGTCTGTTCTGTGTTTGGTTGTTTGGATTTGATATGGTGTTGAGTTTTTTTCTTCTCTTTTCGTAGATACCTTCCTATTGAAATTAATTGCAGTTTCTCCTCCTCTCTTCTACCTGGTTGTTTGGGTGTTTTAAATTTTAAAAGTTCAGAGGAAGGTTGTTGGGTTCTGTACACGATGGAAGGTTATGGTTTGAGAGGAATGCTAGTTGCCTAAGTTCATTTGCAAGTTAGACTAGAGATTCTGTCTTATGTTTCTGGGATTTATTACTTTTAATGAGGTGACATGTTGAAAATATTTAAGATATATTTAGATTACATGTCATTACATTCTGTGCTGCTTTGGGGTTATTATTATTATTATTATTATTATATCTGTTTAACGATTAATTATGCACGTTTCTTCTCATATAAAACTGACTTCTTTTCAGGTTCAGGGATGCATCTCACCTTACATGTCAGCAAATACTTTGACTACAAAGTAGTTATTCATGTGTAGGCAAAGAGCACTATAAGTTATTAGGATCTGCTAATGGTGAGATTTTAGGTCAAATATTGTCATCATTGGACGACTAAACAAAGGAGCATTATAATAGGCATATTGACAGGATAGTAGCCAACTCTTATAGTTATTATATAGAAGCTTCGTTTTCCATTATAATTTACATATTCCCGAGAGAAATTATTTTTCCTTATGCGATTTATGAAAATCCAACAAAATTGTATGAATAATGCAATTGAGTTTACTTTATAGCATTGTCAATTATTTGGTATGGAAATTGTATTATATAAAGTTATATAATTTTATAAGTTAAAGCTCACTTGAATACCGTGCATTATATGAATATTTATAAGTACACGTAAACTATAAAAAAAAGGAATAAAATTTAAAGAAAAGTAACTTTATTGATAATAATAAAAATAATGAAAAAAATACGTCCTTTTGAAACTTTTAATTGAAAAAAGTCTTAAAGATAGATTCAAAAATAAGAATGAAATATAATTCAAATGTTTTTGTAAATATTTCATAGATAAATTATATATGTTCATTGTAGTTTCAAAATATATCGTTTTAATCTCATGCTAAAAGATATCTAAATTTGTTAGGAAGAAAGTCACAAGATTATATTTCTCTAGAAATTTTTATTAGGTTAAATACTTCTTTTGGTCCCTTACAATATTTTTTTGTTTCAATTTAGTCTCACTTTAATTTTAGGTCTCAATTTGGTCTTCAATAACTTAAATTAGTGCAATTTGGGACTTCTGTCCAAATGATTTAGACAGAGTTAACTGTTGGTCACGTGGCATCTTCGTGGATGCCATGTGGATGCGTACGTGGACGCCAAAATCCCTGAAAAAAACCTGAAACCAGAACGGGCCGTTCTGGAACGTCATGCTTTTTATTGTATTTTTTTTTATATCTATATTAATAAATATATAATAAAAAAATACAATAAATTAATATTCATTTATGAATAAAACTAAAAAAAAATCAAATATGATAAGACTTTCCAAAATATTTCTTTGATTTGAACTTATCCAGTTCAAAATCTTGACTAAAATGCCACAATGTGATTCAAAAATTGAAAATAAAAATTCATAATATATCATAAATTCAAAGACAGAAATATGGTTTAGAAACTGAAAACAAAAATTCAGAACATAACATATACTAAAAAAGTTCAAAGAAATTATTAAGAAAGGAAATCACCTGGGTAACGCTGAAGGGAAACTCTAAACCACAAAAATTCAGGATGTATCTCCTCAAGAACAGGTTGTTATTTTTGGGGTACATCGTCAATGACTTCAAGGAAAAACACTGTTTCGTTTCATCCTTGACTGTATAGTGTCAATTTGGTAGTAAGTGGTTCACTCCAGTTTCACTAACAATAAAATAAAACTTGTTACCATTGTCCTTAGTGATACACTACATCATCCTTAATGATATACTGTATAGCCCAAATGTTTAGCAATTGAAGTTATTAATCCCCATTAACAATATTACCAAATCTAGTGTTTGAAATGCTTTGTATTTTGATTTTTTTTGCAAGAAATTCTGGACCAGAACGGCCCGTTCTGGTTTCAGAACGGGTCGTTCTGGTTCCAGGTGTATTCAAGTATTTTGGGATCCACCTACGTGGCATCTACGTGGCATCCACCTGGCATCCACGTGGCCACCAGTTAACTCCGTTTAAATCATTTAGACGGAAGTCCCAAATTGCAATGATTTAAATTATTGGGGACCAAATTGAAACCTAAAATTAAAGTGGGACTAAATTGAAACAAAAAAATATTGTAAGGGACCAAAAGAGGTATTTAACCTTTTTATTACAAAGTATTAAATAATATAAGTGGTTTTTCAACTGGTTGAATTGCTGAAATATCTAATCAAGGAGCATTTTACGCAAGATGTATAGAAATCCCAGTCAAGTTGCCATCTTTTATACCGGGTGCCACTCTGGGTATAAAAAAATATATATAAAAAAGTGTAGTTAAATGACATGTATCAACCCTAAATCTTAAATATGTAACTGTGTTTGAGAACCCGTGTGTTTTGATGTTGTAACAATTACAAGTTCAATACACAATGAACAATGATGAAGACAATCTCTCTATTTAGTATTATGAAATTGGTGAATTTCTTATATTGGAACTTAAGCTACTAGAAACTATAGAAAGTACAGAGAAATTGCAGAGTAGTCATAAAAGGAAAACCATAACTGATAACTGAGTAATCGAGGGAGAGTATTCAGAATTATTCCTTTCCTTTCAAGCCTAAACCATGCTTTCTTTTGTGGGCATTTTAATATATTTGTCTTGATTGGAATTTTGCGCCTATACTTCCATTTTTTATGAACTATTTAGCATTTAATATTTCAAGACATTCCTCATTGTTACAATATATCTTAGTTCTAGGAATTCAGATATAATTCGAAGAACAGAGATGAAATAGGGAACCTTATAAGAGAAAAGGTTCCGAAGAGTTTATTGTGTATTTGAGAGTTTACAAGAAAGGAGATCTAGATACAACAAAAAGTGTCTCTCTAATTGTTTACTGGCTCTTTATATCTAACTCTCAAAATTAAATCTAACAATTTCCTTAAAAATGGGACACACGTAACTAACTCATATCCAACAGCTAGCAATATTATTCCTCAACCTTATTTCATATCAATGCCCCCTTCTTGCCAACATCCTTGTCCTCAAGGATGGAATAAAGGGTACTTCTTCTTCAAGTCATCGTAAAATTCCTCTAGAAGTTGGTGCTTCCATTTAACAAGAACTTTCGTCATTGCTGCTCCCTTCCTTTTAATTGTCATCCTATCCAGAATTTCTTCAAGCTCCTTCTCTGCAAAGGCATCTTCAAATATGTCATCAAACTCTTTTAACAGTTGGTCCATTTCCTCCGGTAATGACGGTTGAGCAACATGAGTAGTTAAAGACTGTAATAATCCTCCCTCCTCCTCACGAAGCTGTAGCATGGAAACATGAACACCATCACCCAAGGTCTTGTTGAGTTGTTGTTTCTTAGCAGTCTTAACACCCGTATTAGGAGAGCCTCTCAACACATGCATCTTACCATGGACCTTGAAGTCCATTGTCAACTTAGAAAAATTCCAAGTAATATTGCCCAAATGACTAACCATTCAATCCCTAAAACCAAATCACAACAACCTAAAGGAATCAATAACATGTCCGAAGTAAATGTAGTTTGCTGAATAGACCAAGTGAAGCCTTTCACTATAAAAGAAATTGTAAGCTTGGACCCATCTACTACCGCAACACTTAAAGGCTCCCTTCCTTCAATATTTCACCCATACTTCTTAGCCACTTCAATATCCAAGAAATTGTGTGTGTTGCCACTATCGATAAGGATGTGCAAAGGTTTTTTCTGATAATACCCCGTAATCCTCATGGTACAAAAACTAGCAACTCCTGTCAATGCATTAACCGATATTTGTGGTTCCCCTACTGCAAGTCCATCATTTACATTATCCATTGTATCCCACTGGTCATCCTCATCATCAATCTCCAAAACATGCACTTGCAACTTCTTGTGAGTCAAACTATGTTCAGGTGAGTAAGGTTCATCACAAAAATAGCAAAGACCCTTGGCCCTCCTTTCATTCATGTATGCAGGGGTCAAACTCTTCCTTGACCTTGCCATAATCTTACTAGCATTATTTACTATACTGGAAGAATTAGAATTATCAACACTCAATGGTCTATGGCCCAATACACCTTTCTGCTCTTTATTGATCTCATTAATCACGGAACTTCAAGTATTAGCAGCCTCATATAATCTTGCTAACTAAAAAACCTTACTTACTATAGTTGGTTGAAACATCCACTACTAGAAAAATGGAAATTAGAGACGGAAAGAATCCGTCACAAAATTAAAGAAAATCCGTCACAAAATTATTAGTGACGGAATTTGTGACGGATTTTGGGTCGTCACAAAAAATGGCGTCACAAAATATTTAGTGACGGAAAAATTCAGTCCATCACAATTAGTGACGGAAATATGTCGTCACTAACTAATAAATTTTCCGTCACAAATTACTTAAATAAATGTTAATACTTGAATAAAATTCCATCGCAATTTGTGACGGCCTAAGAAGTCGTCGCAATTTGTGAGGGACCGTATTCTTCACAAACTGTGAGGGACTCAAAATCCGTCACAAATTGTGAGGGATTCAAAATCTGTCACAAAATTCTAATTTTTTATTTTTACAAAATTTTTAAATAAAAAATAATTAAATTATTCCAGATTTATTAATTATACAATATATATTATTTTTACTTTTTTTTTCTAATCTACAAGTATTAATTATTAATTTTCAGATAATTGGCAGTGGTAAGATTCGAACCTCTTACCTTCTACTCATTCTAACCTTAACACTCCTTCTCCAGCCATCTGAGCTACCTTATCAGTTCAGTATTTATTTAACAATATATATATAAATATGAAAAAATATCAATTTTTATCACAATAATATCAAACATCATTAAACATCAAACTAATAAATTTACAATAGATTCATAGTTAAAATCATAATATAATTTATTTTAGAATTTTTATTTTATTAAATTAATTGAAAATTAATTATATTTTATCACTTTTTAATCAAGTGAATGAATGATAATGAATTAACAAAATTTTTAAAATATATTTTAATTGAAAGTATATTTTTAGTAAATATTTGAATATAAAAGTATTTTTATAAATAATTAAATGAAAAATATATTTTAAAATTTATTTCTCTCATAACACCAATTAAGTAAAAATTTTCAAAAAAAACTAAACTTATATTTGTTTGCGTTATTTTTCCAAAAAAAATAAAATAAAAAGAAAAAGATCAAACCTTTTGATAATTAAGTCATCCAAAAATTAAGACCAAAAAATAATGTTGATTGGACCAAACTACCCAATACGTACGGACTGAGTTCAGCGTGATATCTTCCACAAAAAAGAAAAGGACAATAGACTCCGAAACTGTAATGCATAAATAGAATTTGAAAATTAAAACAATTTATTCGAAACGGTTACACGAGGAAAAACGAAAAGAATAAATAGTTGTTTAGATTGTGAAACTTGTAATCAATTACTAAAACCTTATATTCGATTACTAGATGATTTTATAAATTTAACTTTAATTCTAATACTTATAATCCTTTAACTAATTTTTTAATTAATAAAAAATATTATAAATAATGATTTTTTTATAATA